TAGATGGAAAATTAAAGCTCCAGGAGAGATTTTAGAGGTCTCATGGCATCACGTTGCAAAGGAGCCCAATTTCATTTCCTCAGCAGTGTTTGCTTTCCTGTCTATCACTGATCCTCCTACAGATGTCACAGCAATATTTTATCCAAACTTGCTCTGGGCTTTATTCATAGATACAATTTCCTTATCAAAGCGACAAAATCAGTATTTCTTGAGAAATGACACCTGACATCTAGGACTACTAAAGAAGTAAATACATCTTCATTGGCTGTGTAAGCATACGAAGTCGGCCTGCAGGTTTCTCTCAGAAATCTTCCTCATATTCTGGTATAATTCGGAAACAGTTTCTCAATTAATCAGTTTTAGGAAAAAAATCTGATCCCAGACTTGTTTTCTTTGGACACCTCTAGACTTCACCTGCAAACCAGTTGTGCCAATCCAAGGAGGGCCCTACCCCCAGGTAGCCTGAGGGGGACTTAATGCAAATCACAGTAACACGAGCACTCTCCTGGGATTTTTGATTCACTGCAATGGTTCTAGTTTCTTACCAAGTCCCATCTACTGTCCATATTCAAAGGCAACTTGGTCAAACTCGGTAATGAGTGGGATAGTTGAAAAAATGTTTTCCCAGTTACGTAAGCGGAAGGCAGAACATAACGTACATGTGACATGAGGTTGCCCATCCCATATAAAAATGCATTCAGGCTTGTAAAATAAAACTACTGTAGGAATGTTTCATCAACAGAGAAGCCAGGCAGGATACCTGGCACAAAGGGAAAATTTTCTTCTTCCCTGAAATTAGTAGTCCAAATGACAATCAGGCAATACAGATCTTGTTATATATCATTAAGACCTGAGCTTGGCTGATTAACAAGACAGTGGGCAATGTCACTGGCCCTTCACCATGGAAGACCTCTTCAGCCTGTACAAGCTCCTCCTAAACGCTAAGATCCTGTGTGCCCTCACAGACAAGTCCACCCCCTCAAATGCTGAGCACTCACGTTTAATAAAATTTTCCATTCACCTGAGCTTTGGACATGAGGCTTCTTTAGGCTTTGGCCAGAGTCAAATCAGAAGCCTCATTCTAATTTTCATTCTCAAACTGATGGCCCTTTTCCAAGATCAAAGTATTTTCCCACACAGAGCCCAAGCCTGTCATCCAAATTCAATAAGCACTTTACCTACGTAAGGATTGCACAATAACTTTGCTGGCAATATTAGTGATAACACGTTGAAGTTACTGACTTAATGTCCTCAGACCAGTCATCACGGTATTTGCATTGCCATTTTGCGTTACTGTTATGTGTGGTAATTAACTGGCTTTTGTAAAATGATTTCATCAAATTGTAAACATTTTCCAGAGAAAAATCAGAATTAACGCCCTGTTACAGAGAAGAATAAACCAAGGCAGAGGAAAGTCAAGTGCATCACGCAAGGTTAGACACTAGTACAATCAAAATTAGAGCCCAGTTATCTGAAATCCTGATCTGTGCCCTGGCCGTCGATATGTTCTGCTTGGGGAAAAAGCAGCGAGCCAGCTGTATGTGTGGAAATTATGACCTGGTGCTCTCCTTGCACTGGAACCACATCCCATCCAGGTCTCCACACAGTGCTGCGTGACCTGTTCCTACCCAATGGCTTTTGGTTAGCAGGGAGGGCAAATGTCTTTCACCTTTCTTCCAGCACTGCTTGCAGGAAGTAAATCCTAATTTGAATGCAGGGTAAACACCCGTAAGTATTAACAATCTTTAAAACAAGACAAATATTTACCTGTAACACACTGCGGATCACCTTATTTAAAACATAAAGCAATACTTATGACAATAATTTTGACTGTACATAGTTCATGGCTACTATCAGCAGCTTAAATGGTTTCTGCCCTGAGAGGGAATCATGATATTTTGTCAATGACGCTCTGTAATAGCAACTGTACGTTCCTCAAAGTACATCATGTTTTTCTTGTGATAACAAAGCTTATGTGTAGCTACAGATATCATTCCATATGAGAACATAAACTGTTTTATGCACAACAGCATTTCCTTTGACTAAGTTTCTTTCTGATCTCACTAGTTATAAAACATGATCTGTAGTTCAAGTGAGGTGTCAGACAGGTGAAGAAGTGTGCTCATTAAATGTGCTCAATTAGTCATCATAAGAATATGCAAAGTTTATTAATAAAACTGTATCACTCAGTTTGAAAAAGTTTTTTTGACTAAAAGCCATTTTTTGTTCTATTTTTCTCCAGTGCCTTAAACACTACGGGGCTGGGACCTCCATGACCATCACACATAGTGAATAGCAGTAAAGACAGACGATCGCTACTAAAAGGATAATCCCACTATTGACTGAAAATATGATCCATTTCTTGAAGAGATGCCTTGATTGCTACCATAGATCAGATCCGCATGACTAATTGTCATGTACACACAGCAGCCACATGCTTTTCTCACTGACAGATGCCAGTTATATACATTACCACCAGCATGAGCAAGCTTGTTTTACCTGCATCTGCCCAAAGGTAAAATCCAGACAGAACAGCATGGCCATCACACATACAGATGCTACTTGCATTAAGGTAGCATTCAGTAACTCAAATCTGGGTAAGAACCACAGTGGTTTTTTCGTGGGGGAAAGCCTCCCTGCCTCAGCAAGCAGTTGAGCACTGGCATCGCTGTTCCACCAAGTCAGACTCCTCAGTACCAAAAATAAAGTTTGCTCTTGTCAGCTTGCAGGAGCTGAGCTGATTGCACTGGTGGTCTCAAATCCAGATTCTATTGAAAAATTACCTTATTTTACACTTTTTACAGGCCTCTTGTAGTACTTTGACCATTTGAAGACTGAATTGGTTCTTCTCCCTCTCCCCCATAACCTCAACTGCTGTCTCCATTTTTAGGTTGTGACAATGTTTAGAATGCATGGTCTGCTTTGCACTTAGAAAACCTCGGATCTTGAAGGCCACCGCAATACCTTCCACCAGGGAAGAATCTTCTGATCCTTAAATGCGTCATCTTGATATGAAAAAGGTACTTTTTTTCCAGGCTATAGTCTCAAAAAAGGAGGACAATTTTTTAATTGTGTTCTTCAGAACATTTCACCCGTCTGGGTTGGCCCTTGATAATCCAGTTCGTTACTGCGTAACGAATTTATTAGTCTGTTAACTACAGTCCTGACAGAGATAATGGCCAATGATTGCTTATAAATCCTTTGCTGCAGTGTTTCTTCTAAAGCCTGTGGTTTGTACTATGTTCTTAATAAAATCATAGTACAGCAATAGTATGATGAAATAAAGATCACCTGGGCATTCATTTTTCGTAGCCTAAGTTAGCTTAACTGTGTAATAATTTATTTGAAAGCTACAGGCATCAGAGGCAAATTCAAGTCACATGCAGGTTTAATAAAAAGAATTTAGATTCGGTAATCTCTTATCAGCCCCCAAAGCACTTGCGCAGGTACTGCTCAGGTGGAGTCTGCTGGAAATTTTGCCAGAGCTCTGCAAGTCTTTGAAACAGATAGAAGGACGGACACCACACTGAACACGCGCTCCCCACATCCCACAGCTTCACAGCAAACAGCCAATTTTTCCAGCTGCTGCAGATACTCTTCACTCAATTTTGCATGCAGCAATGATGACACCTAATGGTGGAATATTTCTTCTGCTGGGCAATATGCAGAGATTTTGCTTTTCGATGTATATTTCTATTTAAATTAATTACAACTCCCCTCTCGCAGATCACCAGCAGAGTAAACTGCTTGAGGTTTACTTGAACTGTAACAGAGAAGCAGCTTCTTTGCCTGTTTAGTTCTTTCTGACTTTGTACCTGGAAGCAGCAAAATGGAAATGCGTGTACCAGATCTAAGTCCAGTGTTTAAAGCCACCCTTTTTTTCTGAGGCAGACTATCTTGCAGAAGCAAATTTCAGTCACACTGGTGTGAATAATCCCTGCAGAAAGTCTTCAGAAAAGAGGATGAGACATTTTTCTCTAGATCCAATCAGCTGTATGCCAGAAAGCAAACCACATGCACCCAAAAAGTTTCTTTGAAGCCTTGTGTCAGCTATCAGATAATGCTGCGGTTGCAGCACCTTTGATACCCAGTGATCTTTTCATCAGAATCAAATAATCACTAATACAAAAATGATTTTCTTATTTCCAAAGTTATAAAATATGTTATTCTAGTATTAATTCAACATTTTAAGTGCATGTAGAGCGTAAAAATCTCATACAATTTTTAAATTCTGAAATGCTTGAAGTTTTGTTTGTTTTTTTTTAATCCAAGTACATAAAGCCTTTAACTCCTACTGGAATCTATTTCTACATCTGGGCTGGGAAAAGAAGTGTTTAAATCGTGTTACAGATGCCAGGTACATAAAACTACATCTCACTTTTCTCTTGGGAGAGACGAGTATCACTATCTGCCCAATTTAGGTTGCCTGACACTTGCATCTACAGCAAGATAAAGAACAAGGTAACTTTATTACCCAGGCCTGACCTAAATATGTCAGTTTTTTCCAGGTTGAGATAAACACGCAGCTCTTAAAAGAAAAGAGTTGAGAGCCCCTGGCAGCTTACTGATTTGTTTACTTTCTTTTAACAATATTATAACACAGAAGTTGTGCTAGATTTCAGCTGAGTCTACAAAGCACAGAGCCTTCACCTAAATAAACAAAAACCTACAGATATTTCCAGACTGCTCAAGAAAAAACACATTTTCAAAGTATGATCTCTTTTTGCATGGTAATAGTAGTTAAAGTCACACGGCTAAGTACCTACTAGAAAAAAAAAATATGAAGACATGCTTCAGAAATGTGTCTTTACTGAACTGGCAATTTTGTTTGTACAGTAAGGTATGTAAAATCCATTTTTTTAATTTAGAATTTAACCACTGAATTTTTCACTACCTTTATGACCGTTTTTTGTTGGGGCTTTTTTTTCCTTTCTTTTTTCTTTTTTTTTTTTTTTTGGAAGAACAATAATTACTGCAAATACTTCATCATTCTGGGTTACCTTTCTCACATCTGAGCTCTTTGGTTCTGTTGTCCAAGTTATAATTCTAGACACAGCAAGTCTTGTCTCACTGGAGTTCACAAAGTCTGTGGGATCCATCTGTCTTGCCAAGGACTCAATATACTTCAGGATAGCAACTTTCACCTGAGAAGTGAAAAGGGATTTGTTAATCTCATGAGCTGGCAAAGACGGATTTATCCTATAATAAACAGATACCACTACAGATTAACGAGACCTATGTCACATGGGGGAAAAAAATATCCCTGTGACATGTCTCTGTGTCATGTTTCAAAAATCAAGAGCAACTTTCTAGACAGGATAAATTTTGTGTAGTGAGAATCTGGAATGGTGTATCAGAACTGGCTTGAAACATATGTCTGCTTGTGCGTTTGCATAGGCAAATCAGTACTCCACCATGCTGTTTCCACCAGTGGTTATGGTTCCAGATGTCAAACCATAGCTTTTGGTCTCAAACCAAATGCTTGATGCTGAAGTCTCAAAAAGTCCAAAATTTGGGAGACTGAAGAAAGAACACTTGAGTCATTTGGCCTCCTGTATATTCCTGTCTCTGGAAGATGTATGTGTATGACTTCCAGAGTTTACAGTGTTCCTATAGCCTTGAAACAGCCACCTCCGGAAAAAACAGTCTGCACAACAGTATTCCTTTGGGACGATTCAGTAACAGAAAATTCTGATGTTTTTTTCTCCAAACCCTACACGTGTTACGTCCGACCTGTGCAACAAGCACTTGTTAAGCTGCGCCTAGGGTCCCAGCTTCGCAGCCGTTCAGACAGGGTCTGGTCCCTTCTGTCCTGCAGTGCCAGGTCTTCTTCCCACCAAGACCAGGGTGAAGAGGAATTTTCCATGTCTAAACTTTACTCTAATATGTTCCAGTGTGCTTAAAGCCCAACTCCTACTGACTTGTGATGAGTCATAGGGCCCTATTTTAAAGATATTTTCATTTCTTAAAATGGGAAATGAGAGAGTTAATCAAAGTCGCTAATATAATTTCTGTATCATGCAGGTACTTACAATTAGTTATCTTATCATGAGTTCAATGCTTTACGGTATGCCTGACATGGCAAGCTAAGACAACCATGTCAATGTTTTAGTGAAAAGGCTTTTGATACTGACCTTCAGGTTTGGTGTTTGGGTCTGATCTACAATAAATCTCATCAAAATGTTAAATTGTTGATCAAATGGAAAAGAATCCCTGTCCAAAGAAAACAAAGGCGAAAATGTAATGTAACATAAATTTTCAGGACTAAATTAACTTGATACATTAAAGCTTACACAACAGATTTCCACACCTATCACGCTTTTCTTCTTCTTAACTTTACCATCAACCAAATAAACTCCAAGTCTAAGGATTAGCTGATTATTGATTTAATACTGGAGAAAACTGCTAAATCAATACCTTTATACACTGTTACTCTAGCTGCTGTCTGTACTCTTATCCAGCTTCTGGCACACCTTTCCATTCCTTCTTCATTTCAGGCTGTGCTTTGTTCCCTTATCTCCAGTAGCAGCCTGGTTTATCTTGTCCTCAGAGTTCATACCTGGTTTTGATTTCTCTCCTCTTTTTCCCTCCTCTATCCTATTTTCTCCTGGATTACTACTACTTCTTTCTTAATTATCCTATTTCCAGGATGAGCTGAACTTTTTTGTAACAATGTCCTGGGCTGGACATCCTTAGGAAAGGACATGGACTACAGAATTGGTGTGCACATCGCAGTAGCATTCAAGGTCTTATCCTGACATTACCATTATTTGCTGTTTGAACAACATGAAAGATGCTCTGAACTTTGTGGTAAAGCACCATTCATATTCTGAATACTGCAAATATTTTTTTCCCATCAATCAAAAAGAAAAGTGATATCAAAGCGCATCCACACCAAAAAAACAAATTAACAAAATTAATCAGTTACACATTTTAAATGTTATGCTTTAAAGTTACCTGTTTAGGAAAGAGACAGATTTTTAATTCAGTGCTTGAAATATTGTGACATAGCTTTGTTCTCCTTTATTCTGCTATTCCTCAAGATGGAGCCCTCAAAATATACGGCACTGCCGGGTTTCTAAAATGTTCATCAGATGCCTTTCTGTAATCCTGCAAAAACCTCCGTAACATTTGTCATCTGAGTACCCTACCTGGTGACATCCAGAGCTTTTTGAACTTTCGCCTGCACAGACCCCAGCAAATCTGCTCCCATTTTCTTTAGCAACTGGGTCAGGAGAACAAAAAGCCAATCCTGCAAGTCATCTTTATGAATGATGATGAAATCAACCAGGGTTTCCAGGAACATGCTGAAGACCTATAAACAAAACAAGTGTCACAAAAAGGAATACCATGCTTTAAATAAACATAATCAAAGGGGAGGGGTTTACAGTCTGAGTTTCAGGATGATTTTGTTACAGACAGTTTCATGAATGAATGATTTTAGTGACTACATTGCTCCAGGGGAAAAAAAAAAAAAAAAATCAGACAAGACACGTCTAAAATGTGTCGTATTAAAATACCACATGAAACGAATGGAGGAAGGGGGTAGAATACACTTACTCTCTGTTGTGAATTCCACGGCAAAGCAGGCCATGCAACAAAACAAACCACTCATTAGCACACATAGTGATCAAGGCTGGTTGTTCAGATGCAGTTTGTCAACAGATCAAAGATGCATTCATTGAAAGTTTACATTTTCGTAAAACACAATCTCTTCTCATCGGAGTTACTTAAAACATTATATACCTTGGATCAGATCCAGCCTCCTCACTCATGAAAGTAACGTATCTTTATATATGTTTATATCTAACAAAGTTTACATATGTTTAACACCACAACTAATGAGTTTGTAGCAATAATTCTATAAAGGCAGTGCAGATGACAGATCATCGCTGCCAGAGAGGGCATACTTGCGTCCAGTGTGCACTAAACCCTCACCTTACTCAGAAATTGGAAATATTTTGCAGACAAATAGCTACACCTTCACCCTTTCCACAACACATACTGAACCTCTGAGAGCCAAAGCATTAAGACCTTACAGGCAGGCACTGCCACACTTGGTGAGGCCTGTGGGACTGCTGGTCCAGACTATAATTACGGCCAAAAATGCAGACTTCAAGCAAGACCTGTGACAGGAGACTATGCCTGTCCAGGGGATTTCCACCTGACAACCATTTATTAAAACTGGTTTACCAAGTGGTCTGAAGTACAAATATTTATACTACTTGTTCTTTCTCAAACTGTATTTAACCCAAGAGCAGATGTTTTTACCCAGCCATTACTGGTTGCCCTCAACCAGCAAACCTCCTCAGGAAAGGGCATGAAACTCCCTTCTCCCCTCTCCCTGCTCCCGCTTACCTGTCGATCGAAGACCACTGGGTCTGAATGTACCTGTGGGCCCAACCTCCCCATTCCCTAGTCTGCTTCTTTTTAAGAGACGTCTGTAAATTCATGCCACGGTCTTTAACTTCAAAGGTCAGTGTTATAAAGGCAGCAAAGTAGCTATATTAAAGACTTTATTTATTTATTGAGCTCCAGAACAATATCTTGGTGAGACTCCATACTGCTCCCAGGTGTACACAATACACAAACCCCAGCGACCATGATGCTGAACTATGGCTCATTACCCTTCACGGACCTCACTCTACCATGTATCACCAAGACACTCCCTAGAGTAGTACAGATAAAACTGAACCTCTCGCTCCAGGAGCGGACATCTGAAGGGCATTAGGTTGCTCCCTGGGAAGCACAGAGTAACCAGTTCCTAGCAACATGAGAGAGACTGAGACACATCCCTTCATTGTAAAACAGATAAAAATCGAAGAGATTTACAAATGCCAGTTTCCCCCGGCAGATGGCAGGGGTAGAAATACAAAACATTCATCTTGGAACAGTGTCAAATGTGCACACATGGTAATGTAAGAGAGCAAGCCAAGTCTTTGTGAACTTACCTTGCTGTGAGGGTCAGCAAACATGCGAGTAAATATTTCACATAGCCTTTTTAACTCGACTCGGCTAAAATACATAAATAAAACATGATATTAATGCTAAAGCTCTAGTTGTAGCAAAAAAGCTAATAAATATTAACAGCTGAAAGATCTAAACTTCTTCATTTAAATGTTACTTAAGTCACACTTCTGAAAACTCTGTATCTAGGCAAAGCCTTAACTGGTACTCCAGTTTAACGGCTGGGACCACCAGCCTTACATTAAGAAATCTAATAAATATTTTTTAAAATCATAAGCCAGACACTTGTATTTTCTGCTGCTTCTATTTACTTCTATATTCTTGATTGCAGAAGACAACTTGAAATGTGCACATTTGGAAGGTATTTACTTTCTGCCTGCGTCAAGGTCACGACTCACTGAAACACAGGCCTTTTGCAGCCTAGGAGTAAGTTTCTCAAGTCTCCTTTGTGTCAGGGAACTTAAATTTTCAAGTAAAATCAGAACTTTCATGTCGTTTGCGTATATACTAATCATAAATATTTTTGACTAAATTCTCAGTTGCTTCAGTAAAATCAGTCTAGAATCCCACAGTATTAACAGATACCAGAACTGACTCCGAAACCTGAGAGCAGGCACGCTGAGGAGACAAATACATAGAAATGGAAGACAGATTAACCAGTGGGCAACCTGGTAAGTCAGAAGATAATTTAATCAAGGCACAATCTAAATTCCTATTAGTAAGAGATTATTAGGTGCTCAGTGATGTTCTTTTTATGCCAGGGGAAAAAGAATGATGTATGGGTCCCTTTCATAAGATACTGAGTTTGAGTCAAATGCAGAACTGTTTGGTGCCAAAGCTCTTATTTGCAATGTATTGAAAATACAAGTCTTAGTTTTCCTGCAAGGCAAACTGTCAAAGAATGTAGAAACTTTGCTTGTTTACCGTGCAAACAAAACCAGAGCAAGACAGTTAGGTAACATTTCCTGCATACTGTGGGTGCAATTAGATATTTTTCACAATTACTATGTAATTAGAGCAACTAGTGAAATGCACATCGATTGCTCAGAGAACAGCCCTTCAGATCTTGACTACAGGTACCCTCTTTCCAGAAAGACATTAATTCTACAGTCCACCAACATACCTCCCCCTCTCTCAAAACAAGCTTCAAAGAACAGGCCAGAATATGCTAGTAGTCTGCAATTATTTTATGTTAGCTTGTTTATAAGTAGCACGGGACATTTTTTCAAATAAACCTATGCATGAACGGCTGATCAAATTTTAAAAGGGCACAAAAACAATGGTCTTTAGAGTTTGATGTAGAGGAAAAAGTCTTTGTAACGACGCCACAGCAAGCTGCCAGCTTCATTCAGGATGAGACCGCGCAGTCTCAAAACGACTACTCTACAACACTCTCCCGACTTCACGGAGATTGCAGCTCTCTGAATGAATTCCTATTTATTACTCTAATTAATTTTCTTTCTGGACAAAGGTTACATGAAGACAGCAAGTATAAGCATGTCTCTTTCTAAAAGCTCATGGACCAGAGGTAACAATGCAAGTACTAAATTGAAGCAGGCAGTGGAAGAACGTTTCCTTAAGGGACTTGTTGGCCTTATTTTATTTAGATGACCTTATGGGGAGCCCTTAAGAGAACTAGACCACATGAAACTGTATGAAACAAAGAGGATAGGTAAGCACCACACCACTTTGCATGCACATCTTTCTGGATATGCAAATCCCAGCTAATGTAGGATCAGCTATCTTTCAGTTCACAGTACTAAGAGAAAACCTAGCCACATCACTGCCTTTTATTAAACTTGTTATACCACAACAGAAGATATCAGGTTTAATTAGAAGACAGACAGACTTGCCCTTTGGACTAATGACCTTGATGATGTTCTGCAAGATGCCGTGGGAACAAACAGGATGATAAAATCTAATCATTAGAACAGGCACCAGATCAACCCTGAACCAAGAAGGAAGCAGACCAAAAGCAAACCAAAAGGAAATATAATCTAGAGAACTAAAACCAGTATCAAATTAAAAAAATAACTCTGCAGGGGTGTAGTTTCTGGGACAGGTTTATAAACTATTCAGGATCAAAGCTAAGTAAACGTGCTAGCTTGAGGGACTAGTGACAGCAGTACGGTTCAAAAACAGCAGGACTGAAAACAATAGTTGAATTATACTGGCATTTCTGCTAAGAAATTCTTCTGCTAAGAGCTACTGATCTGGATAAATAGCCCATCACCCAACCTTCTCAGCATTTACTCCCTTGAACTATCCCCAACAGCACTCAAAACCTTGGTTATAATCGTCACACACCTTTGTAGTGAAATCAAAGTCTCACTCAACTTTTTCATGCAAGTATATGAGGTGCCAGAGTCTTTCCAGACAGTTTGTTAAAATAAAGAAAAAAAGACAGCATACGTGTGGGAAGTATCTGTTAAAAGACTCGTAAACAGACCACATCAAAAAGCATCTCTGATCTAGAGACTCTAACTACCCATATTAAAAAACTGTAGCACTTCCCACTTAAGGACTGCATCACATCATGTGAAGTGCTAGAATATTTTTATGATGGCAACAGAACAACCTTTTCAGACCTGCTCTCAGTACATTTTCATTCAGTCCGTTAACATCAAATATTTTCAGCCAGCGAAGGCCTTTTAAAATGGAAACAATTGCGCAAATCCAAGTAGGTAGGCTATAAACCATACAACGACCACTTATAAACTTGGTTATATTTTAAGTACATAATATTCATAACAGGAAAATAAAAATGTCGCAGCTGTTTGTGAATGTTATCTTCAAAGGAGCCAGAAGATAAACAGCTTGTTTCCAAATACTTTCACCATAAAGTAAGGGTGAAAAGTCTATAGCCTGAGAGCCAGTTGTCTTTTGTTAAAGTGATCTGTGGCCATATGAAGTTTCCCCATGACTACTGAGTAATTCTAGGATCTGTTTTAATGTGTGACATGCCAAAGGTGTTTGAAGAGTTTATTTGGCTTTCAACAAGGGAAAAAGGTCTGCCTCTCCTACCATAAGCAAAGTTTCAGAGTTGCCACACCTACTTCATTGTCTTAAGAAACCTCCCTTTACATTCTAAACCACCATTTATAGGACACTCAAGTTTCTGATACAAGATTTTTCAAGAGTTATAAATAATATCAATAATTATACCTAACACAGACTTCATAAAGAGCCAAAGTATACCCAACATACAGAGAGCATCGTCTGATCTCATCTTTGAAACACACCCCCTAAGTCATTTTAGAATAAGTGCAGTGAGTGTTTGCTTCACCAACTAAGTTGCTGGGGAAAAAAAATATTGAAGGTTCAAACAGACTAATGTCAAAATGGTACCACCCTTTGAGTGCATTTACATTACCATCATTGTGGGAAATCTCACTGTGCTGCAACCTCCTACCATTGGAGGTCTTCACAAGACAGAGGAAGGCTAAGAGAAGATAGCATGCTTACCTGAGTCCTTTCTACAGTACTGCTACAAATTTAACGCAAATTATACTGATGACATAGCAGAAATTTTTCCAAAAGTAGTTAAAGTCCCCCATTGTGGAGACAAAGCCTTCACAGCTGTGAAAGATACTATCTGTCTACATAAGGCAGGTACGTATTACTGACTTCTGACTATAGCAATCTCTCATGAATGACCAACACTATAAAACTATCAAGGTCACCTCAGAGTCCGCTGGCTTTTCAGTAAGTTCTGAAGACCTATGAGCCCCTCTTTCCTTTCAGACCAGTTGGAGCTGGCACAGTGGTTCAGGACCTCGGCCACATCTTCAGTCTGTCGCAGGTAGTGTGGAATGCCCCCATTCCTGGAACCATAGGAGCGCTCCGAACATGCACTTGATGCATCGCTGTTAGCATCATCATCAGAGTACATCCCATAGGGCTCATATCTTCTTCTCACTGGCTTTTTCTGGAAAAGGGGAAATTCAGACTTAGTAAGTTATATATAGTTACATCAACACCAAAAGAAAAATATTCTATCCATAATCACTAAAAGGAAGACTAATGCTATCGTTATAGTGACATAAGTGTTTAAAGACGTCACCAAGCACTGCCTGCTTACCTCTCGCAGTAGAGCAAGACAGATCCTATTGATTTCAGTGAGACTATTGAGGGGAACAGGGCCTGCCTTCCCCAGCATGAAAGTGAGATACTTATGCCCAGGGGAATTAGCTACTGGCAATGAAATCATGTGTTGTTTTATTGTCAATAATGGTCAGTTCCACTGTTACAGATTCTACGATGATACAACCTCTACTTCAAGAAAAAAAAAAAAAAAGATAAGGAAGAAAGAGCTGAAGGAATCTGTGCTGGCATGCACAGTCACTTTGATATTGATAATGAAGTGACTCTAGAAATGCATTGGGATATAGGAGACGACAATTTCTCTGTTAGTGTGGGCTAGCATTTTTCCAGAGGCTCCTAAGGGAGTTGAGTACTCAAATCCCGCTCATTTCCATAGCATGGCATCAGAGGACCTAATTCCCTTAGGTACATCTTTGATAACCTTGATATTAGAAGGGATATTAGCGTAATTATGGTAGCAAAACAAATTGCATACTATACTGCAAAATAAACTCTTAAATGAACCTTAACAGAACAGGATTGATAACACAATGTATCAGAAAAAGATCGCCTATATTCTGAAGTGTTTGCTACAGAATTCCTTCCAGTGTCCAGTCCTGCAGTTCTTGGACTTGTGAAGCCAGCAGAGTTTTGCTTCCACTAGGACTGCAGGCTTGAAGCATAGAAATTAACTCAAGTGCAGTATCATGGGTGTTAGCAACAGGGTGGGGAAAGTTGGAAAGTAGAAATAAAAAGTCAAGAAAGCACTAGTACCTTGCTCCTGGAGTCTCCTAACAGCTGTAGGCAGGAAAATATTGAAGGGTGGGAAAAAGCATAGAGAATTATGTCAGAAGCTTATGTAGGGTTTGTTTTTGCAACAAAAACGTATAGCAAATGTGTCTTAGCAAATTAAAAAAAAATACAGTTTATGCAAAACAAAAGTGGGTATAATAACGCCTGGCTTTATCTCCTAACTCCTGCACTACTTGCATACCCTACCGTGTCCATGAGGAAGCTTGGAAGTGAGATTATCTGTTAATAAGGTTTTTGATGACAGATCTATATACAGCACCTCTTTGCTTACTTTTCAGAAACGCTGCTCTGGAAGATACCAGAGTTTTTGGTAGTGATTTATTTCCCCACACATTATCGGTAGCATTTGATTTTAGAGTCTTGGAAAGAAATTCTGATGTCAAGGAACCACTATCTACAGTACAGCACATTTAATCAACTTCACTTAACCAAGTTCTCTTTCAACTCACAGTTCTTACACTAGACTTTTTTGAAGCTTAGCTTCTTTTAAGACCCCCTGGCTGGCACCCCTGGCTTAAAGGCCTTACTTAATGCCAAAGTTTCCATCACCCTTTGAGCTCCTCTGACAGATCTGAGCACTGATTCCCAGTATAGACACTGTGGGTTTAGGCCAAGTCCAGCTCTTTAACAGAAGCAGTGGATCCAACAGGAATTATACACAGGGAGTAGAGGTCACAAAATGACCCACTGTGTTTTATTTAAACTGAGTATTTGGCTGAAGCCACCTTTGGAGAAGTTCGTTTCATTTCCTACTACAGGGAAGAGAACACTCATCTAAAAGCAAGGCTGCTGGGTAAAAGCTGGCATCATACTACTCTCTCTCAAAAGGAGCCTGAACCGAGTTTGTAAATTGTCTGTGGTCAGAAGACAACCAAGAAAAAGAGCAAATTGGTGTGGTGGGAAAGAAGGGGACAACAAGATCATGTTGCATCCCCTAAAGTCATCCAAATTCAGATTGACAACGTAGGCAGTAGCACAACTTAGTCTCCAGCTACACTTATGGATTTCCCTTTTAAGCGTTTAAGATCTTAGCATCCCAGTATAATGTTATTTGGTTTATAAAAGTGGAATATTTAAGAGGAAACTCTGTAAGTCTAGCTGAAGATTAAGTCACATCCAAAGACATCTCAGTGATCACAGCAGTGTTTCAATTCGCTGCTAACCTCTCCCCCCTCAAGAAACCCATATTCAGCAACTGCTCACATTCAGAGATACAGTCTGATTTCATTTACACAGGCAAACCACCACCTATGATTATGCCCTGAACTGCTCTAGTGGCAAATTTGCGGTGCTGAGAGCAGAAACTGCCTCACAAGCTCTTGTATTTAATAATGAAAACGCCCACTAATGATTCAGTCCGCTAAATACAACACTGCCATCTATTATATACTGTCCTACCTCTATATTGTTCACCAGTACTTTTATTTTTTATGGAAAGGTAGATTTAAAAAAAAAAAAGATATTTCTCTAGGAGTACTCTAATAATCATCTAGGAATGGAGGTGAAATGAGCTGGGTAATAATCAAATATAAAAAGGAAAACTATGTTAGCCATCCTTAGGGAAAGTGAACTAGGAAATGGAGAAAGGACATGTCTCAAACTCTGGGGACATGGTTCATTCAGAATAAAGAGAGATCTGAGATATCTGCCTCAGATACATCAGGAAATCCTCCCCTCTGCTCAAGTCTAGAGCTGGAGAAGACCCAAGGTACACTGGTACCTAGGTAATGCTGTAGAATAATTGCTCTTGCCTCTACACATCCTCTCTCCCCCAGAACTTGAAGGCAAATCCAAAGGCTTATCTTAACACTTCTTTTCTGAAGAGCAGAAGACACCTTCTGGGTTCTACCCCAGAGATATTATAGTACAGTAAGATTATACAGGACAATAACATTTCAAAAAGTGACGATAAATTTACTTGGAAATGCACTGAATATTTAGAAAGTACGAGGAGCACACTACACAAATACACTTCAATTTAACTGCATGAGATGGTACCGATTACAGACAAGCCAAGTCATGAGCTGATCTGAGTATCTAGCCAGGTGCAAATGACACAGGGCAGGAACTCGTGAAATTCCCAGTTCTTGTTGAAACCTGATCAGGAATCGGCACTAACAGAGAACACTGTGTTTTTCTGACAAAATCTTCGTGCAGATAACAGGACTGGTGGAAATCCCTGACCCCGTGGGTGCCGAGCACCCCCACAGTGCTGCGTTCATCCTCTGGCAGCCAAGCAAAAGGCAAACAGCTGATTCAACCCATCCTGCAGCTCTAGCACCGAGCCACAGCGGTCTGTTTGGTAACAACTGTGGAGAATTAACATGGAATAAGGAGATAAATATTGCTGCCGATATACCCAAACACAAAACAGCAAAAGGTAACTAACTACAGCATCAGACACTGGCACAATCAGAACAAAGCTATTTAGAAAGAGGAGAACGTACGTACAGGTAACTTTAAGCCACTTTCTGGTGTCGGAAGCATTTTGTATTTTTCCTCTTACCAGTGCATCGGCCACAGCAGCCTCCAGATCTGTGCTTGTGCTCAGGACTCGCATGGCATTCACAGAAGCAGGCATCCTGCCTGGCTGTCCGAGTCCAAACCGGTCTGCACAAAAGACAACATTGAAAGGGATTGTTAAATGAATTCACATTCACTTGGAATCCTAATCAGGTGCCCGAGCAGCTCTCCCCACGGGTTCTGGGAACTCACAGTGCTTTTCCATTAAACACTCTTTTATCCATAGCTCTAGAGAGTTAGCCATTAGAGTAAGAAATAAACTATTGTTTGTTGGGCACCAAAGACAATTTTGGATCCTCAGGGCAACTTCTTAATTTTTTTTTTCTTTTTAGCTGGGAAGCAGGGTATATATTTTGTGTTTCTTTTTACACAGAAGCTGTTTCAAAGTTTTATTTTAATATCAGAGGCAGACATGCTGGTCCCAATCTGGCACACTCAGAAATCAAATGAAAGCTTCTCATTAACTTCAGAGAGACAGAATCGTGCCCAGTGTCAGAACATGTTAATACCCGAGCACTCATCCATCCTGCAGCTTTTTCTCAGGTAAGGATGCAAGACTAGCAGCACCAGATTAGCCTATTTTATGTCTCAAGGGCTGATTAACCAGTAGAATATCCCCCTACACCCTGCAGTATAAAAATAAGGTTTATTATTTGTTTGTGAATTGACTCCAATTTTTGTTTTATTACTGTTCTTGAGAAGAAGTTTAAATGCCATTTAAAAGCTCTATGATATATCAAAATTGATTTTTTTGATCAAACAGTATCATCTCTCTCCCTTTGAATTTGATGGCAAAGCTCTCAATGGCATCCAAAGCAACAGGACTGAGTCCAAAATGCCATTTACACTCCTAATACTAATTAGTTTACTTTATCGTTTGCCCAGTCTACCAAAAAAGTTACTGAAATTAGTTTCTTTGGGCAAAGGCCAAATTCAGAAAGCCATGCTAGCAGGGATATGACAGAATCAGTGACTTGAGTATCACAGGCCAGGCTCTGGCAGCACAGTCCTTCTAGATGGGGGTAGATCAGATACTGTATTACTGGGATCCTGTCTCCAGTCTATAAGCAGCAAGAGATTGGTTTTGGCATTCCAAGTTTTTGTTGCCACATGGGCTTGTCTTTGCTCAAGGACTGGGAACACCTTTCCTGGGACATACTTTACACCTCTGTCCCCTGCACCCACACGTGCCAGTAAGAGTTTTGCCAGCAAATTCAGTGGTGCATGAATCAAGCTGCATGAACCCATTTAATAGACCTTCAGCTGATCCACATTGGAGGCAGCCATCAAGTAGAAAGAGAGAGGGATCAAGTCACATAGGTCTTTTATTAGTTCATCTATATTTAATTTAATGAAGGAAAAAGGTTTATCAAAATGCATAACTACATTGTGGATTTCCACAAAACTGAGGTCAAACATGACACTCAGCAGCTTACTGTATTTTTTTTGGAAAAACACTGTGCTTATCGCAAAACTTCATTGCTTTCTTCTTTAAAAACCTACTGCGCTGAAATATCTTTTAAGGAATTAGCTTACATTGACATACATAATTTAAATGAGAGACTGAAGTTTGCCAGCCTACTGTCCTAATTCCAAAGCTTTACCTGATTGTGTCAGAGATTAAGCTACTGAGGGGAAATAGGGAAGATTTTTAAAATCTGAAGTATTTTGAGGAAAAAAAACCCTGAAGACTAGTATTTATTTCAAATAGAAGTGTTATCTATCAAAATTTACTGTTTCTCAAAGTTACATACCCAGACAAGACAATTCCGATTTACAACAAAAGCACATTTTCTACAAAACACATTACAAGGGAAAAAAAATAAACAAACTTCTTAGAACTACTGCCAAAAAGTAATCAAATCATGATATTTCACAAAGAAATAAAAGTTGTATGTGTTATTACTATCCCCTTTTTTAATGCACTTGGGTTGAAGAATCATTTGAAATATTTAGGTGAAACAGTACTTCATCCCTAAAATGGAAAGATCTGTACACTCTTAATAGAAGCACAGAGAAGATGATAATGCATTAGGTCTGATTGAAACTAAAGTTACTACTACAGAGATATACACTACAAAGATGTACAGAAGACAAGTATTTTCCTAAGTGTAAATGATATCTGGTACAGTACAAGGGCTGTAAATGTTGAGACAAGTTCTGGACTTAGTTTTATATTTAAACCCATTACTCAAGTGTTACTGAGATCAGAATTTGGTTTTAACTTTTGAAATAACATAGCATCAAAAGATACCATTATAATTTGTTGTCATGTTAATTTAGTATTACATTAGAAAAGGGAAGATAGTTTGTTGTTTTTTTTTTAAATGAAGAACAGAATGACAAAGTAATTCCGTTGTAGATCAGTTTAAATACCCAGCATAAAGAAACAAAATGGAGCTTTTTTAACAAATTAAGTACAGTGTGGCATGCTGGCTTTTATCTGTCTCCATGGCTATCAGGAATTTTCTGAAATACTTCTTTCCGTGATCTTTAAATTCATAACACCCAAATTACTCTGGGCTTCTCCCCAAGACACTGTTGCCATACCTGAGTGCACAAGTGAGACCTTAGGAGCAACCTCGGCATACCTCTAACGTGGGGCTGGGAACACATCTGGCTCCAGGAATAAAGAATACAGGCAAGCCCAATGTTACTGGGCAAGAAATAAGCAAAGTATGCTCTGGCCACATTCCCTTGTCTCCCTGGCTAGATTCATTACACTTGTTATAAACTTGGTGAAAATTCCTGACCACCATTTTTGGCCTGATTTTGCCATTTTTAGGGAGATTTTGGCCTTCCTTAGGACACAGGTAACCATATACAATTTGATTATGCTTTGTACCAAACCACAGGAGCCAAGCATGAAGTGACTACCACAGGAAGTTGAATGCAAACAAAGCTTAAATCTGTACTACAACTGAGTTTTGGGGTTTTTTAAAATATTTTAAATTATTTTTGTTAAATACAAATTCAAATTGTTACTTTGAAAAATGCCCAGGAGTCAAATCAGCTTGCATCATTTCTGCCGAGTAACCTGACAAGGGAAATGCTTTGAGAGCTTTGGGTAAGTGACAGCCATTTAACTAGACTTAAGAGAAACAGAATATTTTTCACTTCCTACCTGAAGGGGGTTAATTAAATAACCTTCAGTATCACTAATTCCTTATACAATTTTAGCCTCCAAGCAAACACTGAAGCCCTCATTCATCTTTGACATCATCTGTGTCCCCAGAACTAAGTTTCTATTGACCCAAAGCTAGCAGTCCTCATTCATTTCTTTTTAAGACTCCCAGTGAAATATCCTGATTCCAAAGGGAGTTACAGGTTCTCCACAACTGCAAATCCAGCACAGGGGTGAGGAAGAAGCCACTGGAATCTGCAGATTTTTCTCATTATATGTAAGCATTAACCTCCTGATGCAAAGCCCAGTGAAATTAAGGGAATCATTTTATCAACAACTTCCATGTACTTTGGACAAGGCCTTCAGAATTATATGAAGAATGGATCAGCACATGTCATCCTCCAAAGTTCATTCTGAAAGCACATCAGGTGCTTAATTCTTGCTGCTCTTGTGTATTTTGGAGAGGATCCCACAAAGCACTTTCATTAAGAGAGACAGGAGTCCAGAATATTTAGTAATAAATGGGATGAAACCCACTGGGATCCAGTCCTAGGCTTTGGGAACTGCTATACTGCTAAAGAGGAAATATAAACAGAAGTTGCAAGTACTCTGCAACGGTCAGGATTTAGCCCATGCTGCACAACTGATCCAATTTACAGGAGAAGTGAGAAAGCCCTGGATCACCCTTTGTTTAAACACTGCTCACAATGTTCCTAAAATATGTAAAATTAAAAACATCCAATAAATGAAATTCAAAACAAAAAGCCACATTGAACAAAACAGAACAGAAAGCCCCACAGCGGTGAGAAGCACATGCCAAGTGCTGGCTGATGCACATGACGGCAAATGTTAAGATGGTGTAAAACAAGACTACGTATAAGAAGCGGATTCATGCAGTTAGCGCTTGTTCACCTGACTGCCCAACAGAATCAGCAGTGGAGAGAGCACTAGTGGACCTGGAATGACGTCGAGAAGCTGCAAGTAGAAGGAATGGCAACACCCACAGGATTAACACACATTTAACCAGAGACAGAAAATGCCACAATCCAAAGGGGATGCGTGTGACCGCTACCAGTAAAGGTGTTTCATAGTGACAGGGAAATGACGCTGTATATGGATGCATAACAGATACAGTGCAAGCCCCACAGCGACGCCTCCATCCGTAGCTTACCCCCTTTTCCCCATGACCGTAAACACGATGCATGACAAAACTCATTTGTAACAGTCCCAAACCCAGTGCAGTTCAGCAAAAAAAACCCAGTGCACATCAGTCACGTTCCAGACCCACAGATCTGGAAGACGGCCATCATGAGAACGTGGAGCACAGAACTACAGAGCAGGATTTAGATGTGTTTGATCTAAACCCCAAAGTGAAGCCACGATGAATGGTTAGGAATTGTGCTTGCAGGTATTTTTCCACAACATTCTAGCCTATGCGTAAAAAAAGCAACGTTAACAAAGAGAATGAGTAACCACAGAAGTAGAAAGAGTCATACAGGGATGTCAGCCAACCACTGCAGATAGGTCTTTGGGTTGGGTTTCTTTTCCAAGTAAACACACGTACACACATATCATAGCTGTTGCTGCTACCAAAAGTCTTTTGCTTTTAACAAATTTTGCATACATGTTTCTTGAATGTAAGTATGTACGTGCACAGAGACTCTGAATATGCACATCATACACCTATCTAGAATTACAGCACATGTATACAAATTGTTAATAGCAAGGGAGCACACACAGCAGCAGAAGAGCTGAAGCCAAATATAGCTCCCACTTCAATTCCCAGTTGTCAGCAGCACACGAATCACAAAATGCCTTTGGAGAGGTTTTCAGTTCTTGGATTCAGCATAAAGGTGAGTTCTTTATGAAAGCAAATAGAAAGCTGGTCCAGCTATTTCCAAATGACAGAAACTTAGTTTTTCTGAAGAGGTTTTTCTTGTGTCTAGCAATGACGTGCTCACCTAGCTCAAAGCAACTGACCCAAGAAACTGATTGCTTATTTGAGCAATTCATCACCACAGACTCACTGAAGGCCTTGTTGCTTTAACAACATTACTAGTACTGTCAAGAAACTGAAAAAATAAAGCAGAATCACCTTCTAATACAAACAGGCTTTGTCAATTATGCATATACGTGTGCAGCAGAAAAATTATAAGTCTTCTGTTTAAGGCAAAGCATTCACAAACACAAATACAAATATTATAAAATAGAAATCAGCAAAGTGAGAAAAATAAAATTTAAGTTTTTTCCGCAGCTGTGAGAGCTTGACAAAAAGCTATACAGAATATGCAATGTGGTCTTTAACTATGGAGAACACATGCATTTATTCAAGAGAACAATCCCACTGACACCATAAGTAACTCATGAAAGATTTGCAGGATCAGTGTAGGATTATGGACTGAACCTCACAGTTAAGATTCTGAGCTCGCAATTGCTTTCTCCCAAGCCATCCGCTGTGCCCCTGTGGATGCCACTGCAAGATCAAGGCCCGTGAAAAAACAGGAATTACAAAAAAAAAAAACAAAACCAAAAAACCAAACAACAAAAAAAAATCACATCTCTGCAAGGAGGCTGAGTGTAGAGTGACTGTTCACTGGTGTTTCCTAACTTAGGAAGCAAGACATTTGGTGCACAGACATGCATACCTGGACAGCAGCCCCGAAACAAAGCAGAGCAATCTGCAAGGTCAGGATGTCAGTGTTGACATTGACCATAATACCATTAAATGCAAGAATCCTGTCATTTACATGTAGCTAGCTTAAGTATAATTCACTAATACAGAAGTTAATCTTTATGAGCAAAAATAGACCATGCACAGTAGGATTATATTATCTTAGCATTAATGTAAGATTAACTGGGTTCTAGAAATACTGTAATAGAATCATATTGTTTTGGCTTAAATTGACATATATAAATTTCTTTCAGATTAATTACACACTACACAATTAACAAGTTCATGAACATGTTTGAGCTTAAAGCATTTCAATGAAAACACAAGAAAAAAAAAGACAATAGGATAACAGCTATATTGGGTTACTGTTACATTGACACTTCCTCCCCACATTACCTTAACGACTTAGTAACAATGTATTTCTAGAAATGCATTAGTCTTCAAATAATTAAATATCACAAGCTAAAATGAAGTGACCCTGTCCCCACAATAAAGGTTGTTACAAACAGTGTCATAGACATCTGTAACTGAAATTTTATAGTCAGTGTACAAGTCAGACTCGGCAGTGGTGGTGGTGTACCAAACTCATACCAGCTGTGATTCTGGTACACTGCGTTTATTTTTCAGAACAAGGCCTCAAGACAGTATTTCAGTTAATGTATTTTCAATAAAATAAACAAAACACAGCACAATGACATAGAACACTGACAAGCTAACCCTGAAATCCAGCCTGCTTTGGCTGGAGAAAAAAGCTTCATCCAAAATTGAAGCTAGGCAGGTAACTATAAAAACAAGCTACAGTTGCATACCTACTATTCCTTTATGGCTCTGGTATCAAATCAGCTTCATTTAATCAATAAAAAGTTCATCTATTTATCTTAAATAGCTATGAACCAGGTTCTGAATGCTAAGTTGAACTCCTCCCATTTTTCACCAAAAATTGAGATATTACAGATAATGCAAATAGATTATGTTATATCTCACTATAGCTCAAAATAATGAAGGTTTGAACCCAAAAGCCTCTCTAGTATTAACTTGAACATTCCACTCTACACCATTGAAATCAATGGGATTTTTGCCAATGATTTCATATAGATGAAGACAACCAGCCTCTGCGTTGATAGCCAAATCAATAATGACAACTTCTATGTAAGTTTAAAAGATTATTTAAAGTACAGTATATTACTCAAGTATGAGAACCGAACAGGAAGATTTTGCCCATCCGTCTATATTTTTCATAACCTTTTCTTACTATTGGATTAAAGTTGCAGAATTGAGCCCAAAATGCTATGTTTTGCTTACACACTATGTCATATACCTGTATTTGGTTACTATGTGCAAAATAGATGCTGTAATACGATTCTTCAGCCTTAATGAAATTTGTAGGAGCTTCTTTCTCTCTTTTAATACCACATGCACAGCTATGAAAGTACTACATAACTGAAGAGGGCCTGGAGATCAACTATATTTTATGTCTGAGATGACAAACAAGTCTTTCATACAACAAGTAATGTATTCGGTTGAATATATGATATGGTATTTGATCAGAAACATTAACTATCGTGCTGTTTTCAGTATTGTACAGAAAAACTTCTGCATGTGGTAAGTGTAATGATTTTCTATTTGTACTGTACACTTAAGCTGCACGCTAATGATGCTCCTTTAAAACCTCAGCCTTTCCATGATTTTAGGCTGCTTGAAAAAGTTTCCTACAAAATGGCATGCGACTTGTTATTGATGATAGACAATATCGTGTAAAACCTCTTACAAAAAAAGAGCTTCTATCTCTGTTGGAGGATTTAGTATAGAAATGATATACTGTTACTGCACCTAGCTGTAAGAAAATCCCATTGTGAATAACTAAAGTAACTCAAAACCAGGCTACAACGCTACCGACTGCTTCACTGTGACCTAGAAAATAGAGGCTTGCTTTCCTGTAGATTTCCACCAGTGCTGTAAATGAAGCACGGCAGCCCCATACAAGCTGATTTAATGAAACTAAAAATTACAAAAGTTCAAACTAAACTATTTTTCTGCTAACAGTGAAATGCTGAGAACCAGAATTGAAGCATGCAGAAGAAAACAGAAGGGAAACAGGGTTGGAAACAGGGAGTGTGTCAGGAATCCAACACAGGACAGGAAACGAGCTCATTCCACCTGGCTGTGTCTTGAAAAGGCAATCAGAACGAGGGAAAAAGGAAAAAAATATTGACCCTTAAAGCTCCAATGCCTACATGTACTCACCAAGTGGAGGAAAGCCCCGAGCAGGGCTTGTATCTCGACTGCTCTCACGGCTGGTATCACGGCTGCACCCCTGACTCATGCTGGGTCGGGGGATACGACTGCTCCGTGCTAGCATGCAGCATGGAGAGTTTCAGAGAAGGTGAACAAGTTTAATGAGGACAGAAAGCTCAAAGTCAAGTCACATTTCTGTTAGTTACGGTAATTATTACATTAGTAATTCTAATTTGCAGCAGCCTCCTCAGGCTCTTTACAAACCAACTACCTTACATGCTGAGCTGTGTTTGTGATGTGAAATTTAAGCAACATTAAATGTCTGGTTGACAGTCTGCTTTTTTCTTAAGCAATTCAGGTTTTGTTATTCAAGTAGAGCAGGAATCTTCAATCATTTAGGGAAGCTCTACTGTTACAAAACATGCAAAATAGATGAGGCTAAAAGAAACCCTTCTGGAATATTTTTTCGTTAATTATAAAATAAACACCCTTCTGGAATAAAACAGCAGTGCTTTTAACCAGGTCAAAATTTTTAAAAGAAGTCACAATACCAATATGTTATTTTTACATAGATTTGTCTTTCGCAAGGATAGTTTTGCCATGAACAAATATCCTAAGGAAAAAAGGTGTATTGTACCGACTTGCAGAGATATTTTTCTCCAATGAAAGATACTGGGAAAAAGCATTTAGAACCTGAATACCTGAAAGATGGGTTAAAAAGTGGTTTGAATTTTAAGACAGCAGCAGCTTCAGATCTTTAACAGAAGCTATCTAACTTCTGCTCCTCAACCATTTCTAAAACCTTATACTCGTGGTTTTATGTGCACACAGATTGAGACATACGTGCACTTAAGGGGAGCTTTAAACTATATTCTTTACTTTCACAAAAGCCTACATCAACAAGACTCTGATCTTTGGTCTGGCAGCTATCAGGTGTTCAATCCCCCACAGCCTAATAAGGCTCCTGCCTGTCATCTGTGTCGCGGGAACTCATCATATGGACACTCTTCATTTGGCCAAATGCAAAATAGAAGATAAAAGATGAGGCTGCTTTCATAGTAAAAAGCAATCCCACTGACTTTAGCTGAAGTTTTGTCCAAGTAGGAAAAACAGGGCTAGACCCTTAGAAGGTTGCTTAACATCAAGGATTTGAATTTTATGATTTTATAAAATGGGCATTTTAGGTATTTAAAACTGGATTATTCCTCTGAAAATTCTGTGTCATTTTTATATGAAAGATATTTGCAGAAAGTTTTTTAATAATCTTTATGCCTGGTAGAGAATACAATGTTTTCTTAGGTAAAAGAATAGCAGTTAACTGTCATGAGTTTACCTTGAAGTTTACCTTAACGACTAAAGAGGGATTTCCTTTGCTGTTTTGAAATGACAGTAGCATATTTTAAGTATTCAGGAAAAGCCTTTAAGGAATTTTCTCATGCACAGAGTAAAATCTCATCTACCAGCTTTGATGACAATAGAGCAGAGGCACATACACAACATGAACCTGCTTTACACTAATACTTTAAAAGTATCCTCATATTTATAAAAAAGGTGCCATTTGCATTCTTCAGAATATATATATTCTTATAAAGCTCTATTGGTTTGTATACAGAATTTAAATACCTAGACTCAAGCTAATGAAGTTCCCCTACAGTGCTTTTGTGGGCTCGTATACACTAGATCTACTGGCATCCTTTCAAGCAAAACAGTACAGAACAAAATAGAAGACTTCATATTTAAGCTTTAAAATTCAAATATAGACTACTGCCAGATTCTTGGTTTGTCAAATCCTTCCCAGTTTTGCAAAACCTAGCTCATATCTCTCAGATGAATTAATGGTTCTGATGGTTAAACTTTGATGTCAGACAATACAAGATGAGCTACTGACCAAGTTGATTAGGTCACCATAATGTCTAAAACTTCTGTGTGTGTTAGATGGTCTTATAATAAAAAAGACAGAGTAAATAATATGAACTAGATGAAATTAGGGTCCATGAGTACAATAATCCCACCTCAGATGTACGAGGAAAAAAGCTGACAGGTGAACTACAGGTAAAAGTAACACTCTCAAGTCTTCCACACAAATACTTGCTTGAAATTGAGGACTCTCTAGAAGCAAACTTCTCATTCTTGGGTCTCATGCTTATATGTAAATAATGGCAGCCTTCGCATCAGGTTTGCACAAGCAGTCATTTCTCTTAAGTAGAGAAGGTCTGTCAATCTTTTCTATAATACAACCCCTACTAAAACTAAAAAAGGCTCTTTAGAGAGGGAGAGATGTGAACAATTAAAAAAAAAAAAATTAATGGCTGCACACAGTACATTCTCCTTCCATAACAGCTAACAGCAGCAGCATGAAGTACGAAGAAAATGCACTTTAACTGCACGAGAACAGACTAGTAGGACAATGCCGCAGATGAAGCACAATACCGACTGTACAAACAGAGCATCCAAAAACAAACACCGGGTACTTCATGAGTAATGGTCAAACAAAAGATTAGCATGTTACTGGATATAAATGCAAAGGCAAGGGAAAAAATGGATTGAAAAGAACTGAATGATGAGTCTGTTGTGGACTCCCAGGCACCTGCCCCACGTTTTTACTGCTGTGTTGTGTAGGGACGATTGGATATCAGCTGTTCAGAGTATTTTCTTTGGGCACTGCCAGCAGCAAGGGCCAACAGTGTTGTCATTTAGACGAACCTTTCATACTGTCACAGCCTGTCTTTGCAGTGCAGGCAGCAAAGGCAGAGAAGATAGACATAAGTCTCAATTTCAGAATTCCCAACCCCCAGAAGCTGGACAGAAATTAAGTAAATGAGTAGCAAAATTGATTAAAAGGATTAGGCAGGATGAAAGCAAGCAGTGTGCCCACAGCCAGCTCTGCACAGAGAGCCTAGGATGGGACAAGGGTGGGTTGTTTTCAGTGAAGTCCCGACTTTCTAGATGCATCCTATACATCTAAGTTTTACCACTTTCATCTGGAAAGGCAGAGCAGTTGGATACAGTTCACACCATTATTAAAACACACTATTAGGCTGTCTTACACCAGTGGAACCCAACAGATGCAAATACCACCAGCAGAACTTGATAGTGCCCCTGTTTACCTATCTGCCACTTGGAAGAAACCTGTGTTTCATTAGAGTATGATTTTTAATGGTTCTTAAGTGGAGACTAAATATCAGCAGACACTTCCTTTACATCATTTTAAAAAAGCATTTAAAAGCATTTTAAAGAGCCTGTAAATGCTGCCAAAACAGCCAAAAGGAAAGGTCTGCAGTCAGGTACACTCAGCAGAGGCAAGTCAAGAACTGCCTTCAGCTTTCCAATAAACACACACAGCATAACCCTGACAGAAAAAGTGCTGCTGCATGAAACTGATAACCAACTGTGCCTGCTCCACTTTTTGGAGAATGACAGTCTCAAATCTCTCACTCCTTTCAGATCCGACGGTGCCACACGATCTGCTGAGCATCCAACACAATTAACTTCAAGCAGATAAACTCTCAATCTATGGGAAATGGACATCACATTTTGAGGACATCTCCTTCAAAGAGCCCAAAGATTCAAGATTAAGTGGACTATACTCTTCTTTCCCCAACAGGGTATCACCGCTAGTAAATCTCCGCTGTGCAGACAGCGAAGGCAAGCTTAAAACTGAAAAGCGCCACAGAGCAGCGCCATATAGGTGACCAGGCAGGACCTCAGCATGTCCAGTGTGCCTCGTTGTGCTGCCTCTTGGAAAACTACGTACTTCAAGGTTTCCATGAACACCTGTGGTCATCATGGAAGTCTAAGCTAGCAGCAAGGTACTGATGCTAACGGGCATCCACATGCAGAGGCTCTATTAACTTGCCACTGCCCCAGAAGGGCCTGAAAGAGTCCAGCGGATGGTTCCTGTATAAAGCCCAACCGCATGCAGGGACCCAAGCTCTGTGTGCTTACACTTGCACACACAGCATTGGTCTGGGTGCAACCCCCAGTCACCCCTGCAAAAACTACACAAGTCAATGGATGAGTTATGAACAGGATCCAGGAATTACCCATTTCTAATAGCCTGATCTGCACGATGGTTCAACACCCGCTGCACTGCAACATGACCACAGACTTAAGAGATGTTTTAGCCCATGGGATAAGCACATGTGTATCAAATCCATAAATAATCCCGCAATGCCTAAAGTACTGCATGTACATTTGATGTCATATGTGTGCTCAAGCACCTTCTTGAATCAGACTCTGAAAAAGTCTATCGACGTCTTTAGGACCAAGGTGAGTGGGAGTTTATTTAATGAAATGAACAAATGAAAAAAGTGTCAAGGAAAGATAGGGACTGAAGCAACACAATAAGAAAGCATAAAATACTGTTAGCTACTATGTTATAAAGTAATAAATACAATGGAATAATGGTATAAAGATGACAGCTCGAAAGCTATCCCCATCCAAGCCAATATTACCTTTTTCAAGATCCAATGAAGACATAATTTCTGCAACTGAGTGCTAAAGGCACCACAAGCGTCAGACTCTCCTGCTCCCATGACAGCCCAAAAGAACAGGCTTTGGCCATCAGCCCGGCGGGGGGACGGGTGGAAATCAGACACCTGATAGATCTGTCAGAGCTCTCTCCCACTCCCAAAGAACAAGCACTGACTGCGTTCACAGGGAGCACATCAGAGCAACGAGGTAACAAATTACACTTTCAAAAGGATTCAAGGCTCCCATAATATACCTGAAAGCAGGCAACCCAAGAGTGAGGATTTTATACACAACAATTTCCCATCAGATGCTCAAGACTGTTTCAAATCAGACTACATAATGTGATGATCAGCTTAAGTGTATGTGATGGTACTATCCATAATCCTTTGTCTCCTCCTAAAAACAATGTTCTTCTGCAGAGTGATAGCACAACAATTACCTCTAATATTTGGGAAGCACCTTACATTTTAAAAGCAATGAACAGAAAAGCACAGTGTATTCATACAGAGGCCATAAAACAGATCAGACATGAGAAGAACACTGAATTTGGAAAAATAATCACAATAAACATGCAATATTTTTATGAACCATAACAGCATAGACACTCAGGTGCTTTAAATTTATTTCAATATACCTGAAGAATGAATAAGATACTTCTCTATTAACAACATAAGCTAAATAGAAAGGTAGCTTAAATTTAAAATACAATTGCTAAGGCAATAGTTAAAAATGTAACTGACAACAGTAAGGATATAATTTCAGTCAATTTCAACCTACTAGTAAATTCTTTGGCGATATAAAATAATTTAGTAACAGTATTATTTAAAGTGTTCTTCCTCTATATAACCTTCAAACTTCTGAAAACATTTCCATTTAAAAAAAGAAAACGGTATTTCCTTGTTCAGACAGCACACTGAATACCTTTTCACCTCAATTCGGATATACAAAAGTTGATATATAATGATGCTTACTCACCTGACTTAAAAAAATGAGTCTGCTGATAAATTTGAAAATAAAAACTATTATACAATATTTACATAACAGTCACTGAGACAAGACTATTGGAAGCAGAACAATTAAAGCATAAGTGTAAAATGCCATTTAAGAAAGTAGCTCCAAGATATTGAGGATGAGAGAAGCAAACCATTTAAACTGGAAAATTTCTAAAATAATCTGAGGTGGTGCTCTTTGCCCTTGATTCCAACTGACTGTAAAGATTGCTCAACGCATTTTAGGACTAAGCCGTTGATGCCAAATGAGGTATTTTTGCTGTGATGGTTATTCACGACAACTGTTTTTGCTACCTGATCTCATAAAATCACTCATGTTGACGTTCAAACAGAAGGCATCTTTAGGCCTACTTTGAAACTACAGCTCAACCTGGAAAATTAAAATTACTCTCCTACAAACCATCATCACATTAACTTGCCAGCTGAAAAACTCAGAAGAATAACAGTAACACATAAATAGTTTCCTCGTCAACAGGAAAGTCTCTCCTTCGAGCATGCCGGTCAGCATGTCACTGCAGTGACTATTCTTACCTAGTCCTATTCTGTTGGGACTTGTCTCTCGACTGCATCCCTGGCTCCGAGGGATCTTGCTGCGCTTCTCTGAAGATGATGGCACCGGCTGGACTCTGGACGTTCCGCCGCTCAGGCCACCATAGGCGCTTCCTAACAGCTTACCCGGAGAACTAGACCGGCTACCAGCTGGAAGAGAACCAGAAATAAGGAGAAAAAAAAAAAACAATTAAAACCCCCCAAGATTTTAAATACTCTGACAGCAAAACTGGAACACAATCAGCTCTAAGAATTTGATCCAAATCACTCAGAAAACTAATGGGAGTGTTCCCCATGGGCTTTTGAGGAAGGCTGAGGAAAGCCCATGGACAATAAACACTGACATCAGCAACCCTGCCTATATGAACCACGCTGCCCAGTTGGGATCAAAACCAAAGCAGACATGGCAGCGTATGAACACCCCAGCTGGCTTTATGCGAGCTTGTGGAGCTGCCAGGAGCAGTCTTGCTGCAGCAGCATGGACTTCACAGGCTGCTTCACGTTCTCGCAAAGCAACACAAATTAGCCTGTGTGGAGCGCTGTGCTGCAGCAAGCCGGCTTCTGGCACAGGCAACCTGCTGCAAGGTAGCTCAGGCATCTTCATGCTACACTGCAGCGGTGGCATTGCAATAATTCAGTACAGGAAAATTAAAAAAATACCATGTCAACAGCACAATAAAGGGTAAACCAAGTGAGCCTGTCCCATTTGTAAAGATGCTGCCTTACTTGGGTCTGACTGGTTAAAGCTAAACTATTTAGTTATTTTTCAGCTGGAGAAAATTTTTAGCAAGTTGAGTAGTTGGCCTGTTTTATTTTTCCTTGTCTGTTTGAATAGTCCATGGCAAGTACATTTCTTCTGAGCCATACTGTCTGCAAGACGGTCTACTACCCAAGATTTATTTACATATTCACATTCCAATTGCAGGAAATATTTCTATCTGAAATAGTCTTGCTAGCTCAATGACTTGAATAATACTTTTTCTTTCTTTTTTCTGTGGATCTTCATTTGCTAAGTTGTTTGAAAATTAAGTAACGCTAGCTTAAAGGTAACCACAAAGAACTGTGAGAGTAATACATTCAAGACTCTTTTTTGCTTCTTCAGGTATATAAAAGTCACTGAAAATTTGCTGCTGATATTACCATTCCTGACTTTCTATTTGTTTGCTAAAACAGGCAGGAAAACCATATTTGAAAAGGTTAAAGAACATACTCAGGCAAGCTCACATTCTGAACCAATATTCATGTTGGTTTCTTTCTGAAAAGTATCTACACATTTCATAAAAATTTCAGTTCCAGATACTATTATGATTAGCAAAAGTTAAAAATTGTTCTTCTCTTTTAATTTAAGAAGATATGCAATTCTACTAATCCGATGGACAATACCATATCACACGTATTATTTTAACTTACTTGCCCCCTGCAATTTCTTGGCCAAAACGATTCTGAAGCAATCGAGTCATATATTCCAATACTGTATGTGGTTCTGGCTTCACCCCCGTCCCCCAAAAGTGAGAATACTTGTGACAGATGCCAGTCTCACACACAGCATCCACACCCTGAAAGCCAGTACTCCTCTCTGTTACGCTGCTGCAATCTCACTGATGTCAGCAGGGTTGCACTGAAGTAACTGGAAGAAGAATTTAGCACCTGGGGTTTAAGCTGCAGCAATGAGCCAGCTTCAATATGCAGAATGTACGCTTACCATGTTTGATTACTATGAGAAAGCAAAATCACTGGCCGTACACATTTGGATTTATGACTTTAAGAAAATGCTTTTGAAGTCTCACAGTTAGGAGAGAGTGAGGGAAGCTAAAAGCTTAGCAGTTAAATGTGAAGGAAATAACGTAAGAAAGCAAGAAAGGGAAAACGTTTCTTACCACCAGCAGGATTAGCTGATCTGGATCCTTGATTATGAGGGCAGACCAAAGGACAGGCAAAAAGTGGATTAAAAGACAGCAAGACAATACAGCGTTCAGCATGCGGTTTATGCTATAGACAATACAGACAGATTTATTCACAAACATGTCACTCCTAGAGCCTCTGCAGAATGCAGTGAGTTAACGTGCAGATGCGACTAACAATTTCCCAAGGTTGATCAGCTTCTTAGCTAAATGGCAACCAACACTCTGAGACCCAAGTTCTGCTCTAAATTACACCCCAGCCCAGTCTGCAAAATTGTAACAGGGTTATCCACAGTATGGGCATAGAGAATTTGGTCCTGTGACCATACTATATTTGAATTCATAAGTTATTTCATGCAATGTTTGGCTCAAGGATAAAGATCACATCTGTTTGGGCTAGGCTGGAATCAGGATTTCAGCAAACTAGACCAAGGGAGCAGGCTCAGATGTGATCATCGTAAAGTTTCATAAGACATTCTATAAAAAATTAAGCCCATAATATTTGAAACCTTTGGATACTCAACTATTCTTTAAATACTTCTGAGACTTGTCTCATATAGTCTGATCATTTTTCACCAAACTAAGTTTAGGGAAAAGGGTCATTTCTGGCTTTGGATCAGTTTTAAGTTCAAAACTGAATAAATCAATTTCAATCAGCATACCAAAGCCCAAATTCCTTCATGACCTCAATGTAAAGATTTCCATTGGGCCCCATCCTGAATACAGTACTTCTCTCTTCAGCTCTCCCAGCCTAACACGATGTTATAAACTGCTTCCCCATCCTTCCAGCATGACAGAGCAAAGCAATGAACAGAGAAGGGCTTTTAAATAGGGGTACAAAGCAAGACAAGTCCTCAGAACAAACAGGTTTTTCAACAAAACCCATCTCCTCTTACCCACAAGCTTGAAGGTCCTCAAAACATGAGTGGCTTTCTCCCTCACCCCAATTCCTTTTAAAGTTTGAGTGACAAAATTCTCCTTAGATACACATGACAAATATGCAACGGCACTGTATGTATGGCTCCTAGGGGAAAACCATGCCTTGCCAGAGAGCGCAGATGTGTCATGTGAATCGGAGAGCAGAACCATCTCCTCCGTATCTACACAAAATAGGTAATGTCCTATTTTAAATTGATGCCAAATCCCACTAACTTTAGACAGCTCACGTGTGACACATACAGAAATACAGTCACATAAGCAGGAGAAGCTTGGCAGGGCAAGAACCCAGGACAGCAGTCAGCACAAGCACAGAGCGTGTCTCAGTGGGACCCAGTGCAAGTTATTTAGTCCTACACACCACAGCAACATGAAATTCTGCTGCACAACTGGTAAAAAAAGGCAGGAACTAAGCACTCGGGTTTGGAGCCCTCTTTGTCAGCAAGAGTACACACTGGCTGAGCGGGGATTCCTTTTGTTACATGTCCAAATGTTATCAGCAGAAGTGAGCCCAATCCTCAGCTGATGCTACTACAATTCAAGAGAAACATTAATAACTTTGTTCTGCTCCCCCAGAAATAAAACACTTCTTACGCTGGGACTGAGAAACTACTTTAGCCCGGCTGCGGCCTCGGGTATCAGCAGGCGTTGAGGTGACGCTTGTGGCACTGCCAGAGCTCTGTCTCCTTGTACGAATCCGACCTGGAGGAATGCAAAGACAATCAAACTGTCAATAGGTTTCTTCCAAAGGCAGCAGCAGTGTCTAACGTGCTGTTCTATGCTTGCAGGGTTGCTATACACACAATTAACCAGGGTACAAAAGAAACATTTTACAGGGAGAGGCGACATCTTTCATTAGACTGGCTGAGACGCAAGGCAGGGAGTGGACACAGTCACGGTCCACGAGTCCAAAAACTTCTTTGCTTTCTGTAATGCTATCAGCCGGTTTAATTAAAAAATATTACCTCTCTATAGCCTTTGCTTCTTTTCTATAGTAGCTTCTTTACAAAGGATTGACAACAGAAATTTCAGTCTCCTAAATGCTGCTTCCTATGTCAAATTATTACTTTCCGACAAGGCGATCACTCTTTCGGAGACGGGTGTGACAGATGCCCCCACAAATTCCATTGCTGGGATTTCCAGTTAGCAGTTCGGTGCTTTATATCCTGCTCTACATGCGCAGGCTGGCACGCACTCCTGCGAGAGTCTGTCAGCGCAGCCTGACTACGCTTTTATTTCAGGCTCATTGAGTTTTCCATGCTGTTTACAGATCCCTCATATTTATCCCGAGATCAGAGTAGCTTTACTTGTAATGGAGAGTCCCATTTAACACAATCAATGTTGTGGAAAAATGATTGTGTGTGTCTGCTCTTTATTTAAGCGAAGAATGGATATAAAGTCTCAAAGTGTTCTTGATCCTTTTTCTGTCCTTTCCTCATGAAAAAGCGACAGAAATTTGAGCTAGAAAAGCTTACAGGGTCATCAGTTCATCCCCTTCCTGAGGCAGGGCTGTTTCCTACAGAATGTTCTTTCCAGTGCTAAGCTTCAATTATCTGTCTCTAGTTAATGGGAAAGAAATGATAATTAAGAGCAAAACAAAGAAAGCCTGCATTAGCACTTTTCAACAACTCAGTTCTCAGCCAAATCTGAAGCTCTTTCTCAGGACTAATGCCAGTGCTATCCTGCATTCAGAGGATGACTTCAAGTTTCAGGCACAATAATAAAAGGACAAAAACCACAGCAGGCAAGAGAAGAGTCTAGACAACTGCACCCACCAGTTATAGATATTAATCTCCTGCCCTTTGTTTCCACCATAAGCATACAAAGAAATATGAACAGGGAGATATACACTTCCCACCCAAAAAAATCACTTCACATAAGGTACACATGCAGGACAAGACAATGGCAAGCAGCCCAGGCTGAACGGATTGAGAGCTCTGTTCTTCTCTGAGCTCTCAAAATATTCATAACATGGTCTGCAAGTTTCTGACATACACAAAGTGACAGGGAGATGTTTAACTTTGAGAAGAAAGCCTAGACTTGTTTGCAGAGGAAAACGCCCAGAAGACAGCTGTACTTCAGACCTCTCCACCAGCATCTAGTTTTAAAATAGCTCAGTAGGCAAGATACAGAGATCTACATTCAAACAATTGTTTGTAGACAAGACATAGAAGAAATCATTAGCATAAAACTGGGAAAATATAAACAAACCACTTTCTAACTACTGGCTAAACAGAACAAGCTCTGAGCACGTCCACGTGGGTCCACTCATGAAACTGGCTGCTAAGGTCTTCTTACCACCAGCAAGGCTGCAGAACTCCTCTGCTCTAGGACATTATCTGCCCCTTACAAATGGTCAGCCCAATACACAACCCCAAGACAGCTCTATAGCTCTTTGCTGGCCCATTCCCATCCCTCGCAAGTTTAGCACACGCGCAGCTACGCACAGATGAGCGGAGCCACCGCGCGACTTGCCACAAGGTGCGTACCCCAAACCCCACCGCAGGCTTCAAAGCAGGCATGCGTGGGGAAGGAGGCAGAAGGACCTCACGCTCTTGTCAGAAGCCTCAAGGCTTCCTTTCATTTCTCACGCATCATGAGGGCATCACTGGTGGCAGCAGGAGCACAAAACAGTAAGACAAGAAGTAAAACCTGACCAGTCTTGGGAACCAGTAATGGAAGTAACTTGCATCATTCCAGAATGCCAACAGAAAGCCTTGGCATTGCAGAAAGTCCTGGGGGTAACTCAAGCTGAAATTCAACATTACAGACAGTAACAGACAGTATTGGAAAATACGTTTAGCGATGTGTATGGGCCAAGAATGAGTGAGAAGGGACTGATGTCTTCTCATCTTATGCACGGGCCACTCATAAGATCCTCAAAATTTTCTATTCTTCCTGCATCTACAAAATCTTTTTTTTCTTTATCAGCAGGTGACTAAGAACAAGGAGAAAGCTGGGACAGTACGTAATAAGTGACTCTCCCACCTTAGGAAATACAAAGCCTAAAATAATACATAAAGAGAAACCAAGGGTAGCTTCTGACACCAATTTTGGGGGCTTTAAGAAAGGAAAATGAACCAAATGGTCAAACTTAATTAACATGTGATTATCAGCAGGATTAGAAATAGAGAGCTCAGTCCTATTTTGAAACTCCTGAGAGTCAGTGGACAGACTCCTACCAACTTCAGCAGTCTCTGAATGAATGAATGCCCAGGAACAAAATTCTGCTTCCTTTTGGACTGGTGGATCTGCACACTGATTTTGGCCTAATGGGTGTCAGAGAGAACAAAGCGGGATGATGAATTGCTCTGGCACAGGGGGGACAGTCCCAATGTTGATACTGGTTTTCTCATCCTTCTAAAAAGGCTGACAAGCATTTGAACTAACACTGCACTGGACTTGCATTGTGCAAATGATAACAGGAAGAGCAGAAACTAGAAATTCATGACACAAAAATGATGTAATGGCACAAATACTGTGACAGCACATTAACAGCTCACCCTAGGAGCACTTTATTTTTTGAAGTCTATGGGATAAAGTGAAACACGAGGGAAAAAAATGCCTCTCAAATTCAAGGTCAAATTCTTCACACAGTTACAAGGAAAAGTGCCATCTGATAACAGTTATATATATTCCTTGAAGCATGAATTCTTAATGTACTTTCCAAAGTTTTATTTTCTGAACTTTAAAAACTATGTACTTATTTTTTCACACATTAATCTTACTTGCAGCATACAAATGCTTCAAAATAAGTGACTCAAAGCTCCTCTTCAAGGAAGAAAGTTAAGATTCTCAGTTTTTCCTATCCAAGTACAATTTTTAGCTGTAAAACAAAAAATGACCCATTGGAAATCAAAATTACTTTAGGCAAATCTGTATGAGATAGAAAACCGGGAGAGGGATCTGGGATGTTTCATATGTTAACTGATCTTCACACGCATGCACAACTTCTAAATTAGTCTTATGATATCCAAAACCTATTTTCTTTATAGTAAGATGAATCAATAGTTGTCTGGCTTGAAAATCTCAAGGTTTTTAATATATATTATAATACCAAGTACAGCATGTACATATAGTTCATCTCTACAATACAAACATCTCTACTACATTCCTGTAAGGATTTCATCTGCAAACAAGAGTCTGCATTCTCATCCAAGAGTTATTTGCACACAGGACTATGTGTGGCTTTATCCCTATGATTCTACCAAGACAGAAAAACTAATTTCAAGAAAAGACCGCAAATAAGATATCGAATAAGTTATTCAGACTTTTTTTTTTGTCGTTAAACTCAAGCAAACACCACCCCTCCCAAAACTTCTTTGCTTTCAAGTGGGTTTGTTTCCATATCTGGATCAAACTGCAGATGTAGCAATTGATATTTCATAACCATTATTTTTCTGCTTCTCTTGAAAGAATTACTGCATCCTGACAACAGCAGCACAGCAAAGGAACAGATAAAGACTGCCTCAACTAGTTTCCAAAAACCATAAAAGTATTTCCATAAAAAAAGCCCTTGATCTAAATTTGACATGTGACACATCGCTGTTGATACAGAAACTATTTTGAAAGACTCAATATAAATGCTCTGTGTTAAGAAATCATTTGTCTGGGTTTTTTTAGCGGATTTTGGTTTTATTTTTTAAATTTACTGTCAGTTTTTACAACAATCAATGGATCAGAATCAACCTTGAAATGTGTAACATACGTCTAAACCTAGGAAAGTTGTTTTGGTTTGTTTTTTTAAAAAGGAACAAGAAAAGGAAGATTCTATGATAACATTTTTGCATTACAAGAGGCTTCATCCATCAGTGTTGTTCTGAGCTCCTCTGGGAGGATACTGCAGCGTCTCCATCCCCAGTGCTCAGAACAGACACAGGCTTTGTGAGACCCAGCCTGTAGATTACACTGAAGGAAATGGCTTTCAAATAGTCTACAAATGGTCTGTAACAGCTCCACAACTGAGTTTAATCAGTTCCATGCTGTGAATAATGATACCTACAACCACACAAGTTATATATGGAAGCACTGGGATGGTAATGGTCTCTCCATGGATCAGGTTAATGAATTTAGGTTACTCAGCACTGGGTTTTCCCCCTGCTTGGAGAAAAACGTTCCTGAAAGAACCTCTAGGCCGCCCCTAGCTGTGTCACTGCTAAATGACACGTGGACATCTGTGAGACATGCACACTTCAATTAAAAATATGCATTACATATAAATCTGTAAACAACTTTTTACGAGCACGGTATGGTTTCCATGCATATTTAGTACATCCAACGTTATACCAGTATAAGACCGGATTCTGTACCATAACTTCCCCTGAGAATCACTCGACCCTTGCTGGAAACCATCAGTATATGGTGCCCCTGGGTTTTGCACAAGAAATCCCTCCAAAGCAGAGGGCTGAGGGAACAATAGTGGCACCACTTTGCCCTACATCAACAAGCACAGGCAAATCAAGTCAGCACTTGAAAAGGGATGGACCAAGAGAACAAAGAAACCTACTACCTGAGCATTTCCATTTAAGATACCATGTTCAGTCAAACATTTGAATCTTTCTTTGTCCTTGAGGTCAAGGAAGAGCTTTAAGGCAGAGAAGAAAAGAGCAATGGTGATTTCATAAACCTTGTGTTACTCCCAAAGCCTTTGGTAAGGCTCAAGATGTCCAACTGAACTTAGGCTCACGAAGAGTAGTCTGCTATCTGAAAACTATAACAAACCAGATTTTATTTCATTTCTGGTGAATAATAAAAACTATTAAAAATTGTGCCACTGACTCTGGAAACTGCTGATTTTATTTTAAACTTGCCAGTTTCGAGACAGACCAGCATTTATGCTTCCCACTTTTGGGAAAGGTTTATCTGAAGGGCTTGTCTTTATGCTCACTTTGAAAAAAGGCAGCCAGATAACAGAAATGCTCTGAACCATTATTCTATACTGAAAGTCAGCATTATGCACCTTTTAAATATTTCTTGAAAAGCCATTTCATGATAAAACAAGCAGAAACTTTTCTGAGATCTCCTTTTCATCAGGTATAACAAACATGGATTTTGGGCACACAACTGCTACTTGCATAGCACTAGCTGTGAAGTCCTGATCAAGACTATAAAGGTTTAGATCTTACAAGCTTTCTGCCTGCAAAGCTCTTAATGAAGTTCAAGAGATACCCATACACAAAGGGTCTGGGCAATCAAGACACAGCTGTGCACTGCATGAAGACACAGCCTCACAGCACAGAGACAGCAGAAGACCTGCACCTATTTAAGTGCTATATAGACTCACACTACCTTTCCATAAGGAAGTGCATTTCAACAGCATTTGTCCATTGGGATGACACTACTTAAAACCAAAGGACTGATACTCGGCTCTTAACTTGTATTCTTGCCACTGGCACAACCCATTCTATCTTGCTCTTGTTTTGAGATGTCTGGCTCAAAAACAAAACACTGAGGAGAACCGAGGGCAAAGCAGATGGGAACTGCCAAGTTCGCATAATGCTGGCTCCGGGCTGAGAGGAAGGTGCAGAACTTTTATACTGTAGCTACAGAAAGCCACGATGGGAACCAGATTGCAGATTTAATGTCAAGCTGAACCACACAAAAAAACACAGGGATTTGCTCTTAAATTACTTACTGGTGACCTGCAAAAAAACCAGGGGCGCTGGCGTGGACAGAATTTCTGCTTTATGTTCAAAGAGTGTCTCTTGCACACACAGGTATTTCCAGAGCAAGGGGACGTTTTTTCTCTTCCCCCACCCCCTTAACTTTTACATTTATGTCAAGAATATAAAGTTTTGCCTTCCCTGTAGTTCCTGGCAAACCCTGTAAGATCAGAGAGTTGGCAGAAGACCTTTCTCAGCCCTCATCTGTAGGACCCACCAAATCCTGAGCAAAGGTTGGTTTTCCCTTAACTGTCTCAACAAAGGAAAATAAAGATAAACAGTTTCAAACAGTGATTAAACTCATCCTTCAAGTGCTCTGGCTGCAGTGTACCACGTTGTTATAATCCTCCCTGATCCTCACTCCCCCCGCCCCCCACCCAGAAAAAGAAAGACTCCTACAGCAAAAGGAAAAGATGAAATGTGGTATTTAACACGAGGGGGATGGCAAACTCTGTTTCTGAAAGTTCATCTCACAATCTTTCCCCCCAAGTGACTTGCTGGTTTCTATTACAGATTTTTACCAAATCCAATCTGCTTTCAATGTAGCTGAAAAAAAAAAAAAAAAAAAGACTAATCAAACAACCCCCCCCTCCACCCTTTTGCATGATGACAGTAAAGCATTTAATAAACTAAAAATAAAAGTATTCCAGAGGACAGCCGTTGGAACAGACCTCCACAAATATACAGCCTAGGAGAGGATTGAGACCTGTATAGGGTATTTCATAAATTAACGTTAAACTTCCAACATTTCAAAATTAGGCCAAAAATAGAAAGGTTTGAGAACATGGGGAAAGGCAGAAGAGAAAAAGAAGGGTCAGCAATGAATGAAAAAAGCTCAGGATTACAACAATCTGGAACTTTCATTTCATTTGCCACTGATTTAGAAACACAGGTGTTTAGGCCAACTTCCTATTCCTTATCACTGACAGATCAAAGCACAAACACTTGCCCATCAGGCAGAGCCAGCTCAAGTCTCAACACTAAGATTAAGTGCCAGTTCCAAAAACAGTAGAGAACTTTCCCTCCAAATAATAAATCAATGCATCGATAATAGTAAGGAAAAAAACACACACATCACAACAGCACAGTGGCAACTTCTGAGAACACCACATCCAAATACAAGCAGCCATCAAGGATACGAGCACAGTCCCACAAGACAGTAATAGATCCCTTGAAAAGAGACTTGTATCAGGAAAAAAATGGGTTTGTTGGGGGGTGTGGTGTCTTCATTATGTGTAGAAGGCATTCTTGTTTTCAACTCCTGTCTACCTCAGAAAAAGTGATTTCCCAGTGGTCTTTTTTGCTTGACAGAAATAAAGAACAAGCTTTCACAACAAGCCAGAGAACCAGACTGGGAGCCCTCCCAAACTAGCAGGCTCAGTGTTCTTGAAAAAAGGCCTTTCCTGCAACTGTCTTAGATGTAAGCCATCTCACTCAGACAGTTAACAACAAAAAGAGAGAGCTCAGGTTTAAAGAGGTTGACTAAATATTCCTTCCCTAGAGATCGTTGTTTACTGTCCTCATTTTTCTGCCATGTGATCATCTCATTCAATTCTCTCGCTGCCCAGTCTCTTCCTGAAAGCATTTGGCAGTTGTGACCTGAGCTTTGGATGGAAAAACACAGCAAACCTTTACACATCGTGGAGCAAGAAAACACAAGCCCTGTGTTGGTTTTTTGGTTGGGTTTTTTTGGGGTTTTGTTTTTTTATCTGTGCACAGGTCACCTTCCATCAAAAGCAGTGCTTTAAATACAGAGACCCACACACAGCTTTGAGATCAGAAGTCAAGTCATAAAAGCAGACTAGTGCCTAGCCTATTAGTGGGGAGGAGCTTGAAGAGAAAGTGAAGAATACCCCATGGCATCAAAATGAGCAGGACAACCATGCAACACTTCATGCAGGTCACCAGTGAACATGGATGAGAACCAGATAACACTTTGAGAACAGAGACCAGGTAGGGTGGTACGACTGTGGACACACCTCAGTTACACAGAGAGACTGCTTACCCTCGGTTTTAGTGGTAGTACCATCTTTAGGCAAATTAAAAAAAATAAGGAAAGGGTTAATAGGGAAAATTAGTAACATCAATAGAAGCGGGCACTATATATTAGCTACAGAAATATGCAAAAAAATTAACACAATTGAAGAAATGAAAAAAGTTTGACTGAGGATCAAATCATAGCTTGATGTGTCTGAAGAACACGCTGGCAGGTTTTCTCTCCTGCAATAACCAACCTTTGCCAAACTCCATTTTCTTTGTTTGCTTCACCGTTTCTCTCATAAGAATGTGCAGGTGACAAATGTCCCTGCTAGCTCAAAAGGAAGCAGGTTCCTTTAGGAGCAGCCATGTTTGCATCACTTAGAGTGCATTTGTTGCTCTTCTCCTACAGCCCGTTTTCAGAGCAAGACTAACACTGTATTCAGTCTCTTGGCTTCAAGGATAAAGCCAGCTTTGGTAGATACTTCCCCCCCTCTTCTGTTCTTCCTCGTGACATAGGATTGTTTGAAAGAAGTTTTGCCACAGAAGCCAGTATGCAGCATGACTGAAAAATGGTTGCATCTGTAAGCCCGAAAGCACGCTATTATGCGATCAACTTCATATTCTGTGTTATGTTTTCTCTGCAATGTATCTAAATCTTGAACAAAGTATGAACAATTTAAATCAGAATAAGAATTCAACTTCTGAACCAAATACAACCAACACGTTTAAGCCAAGGTAAAATATTTCAGATATGAAAGAAACCTGTCTAGAAGAGGAATCTATAGAAACCATCCCTATATAACTCACCAAGCCTATTTTATCAGGCTAAAGACCAATTCCCTTACAGTAAGGAGAAGCAACTTTTCAACTGACTCAGTGAAGACAATCTACACAGCTTACATCAAGATCACCAATTTCTGATTTTTCTTCCTCTTGTAAAGGTAAATTGATGAAAAGTCTGGAATTAGATTAGCATGAAACCAGCAGAATGAGAAACTAGCTCAGATGATCAGCTCTGGTTATAACTGAGTTGAAGCTCTGCAAATACAGTGTCAATCACCGCCCTGCATTTCCTCCTCCACGCCTCCTTCAATGGCATCTCCAGGAGAGAAAGATCAAATGCAAACTTTATTGTAAGAGACCCTGGGGCACCTGAAAGTGATACACGATGCTTTGAGAGAAAAATGTGACATGTGGCTATAATCCAAAAAGAGTCTGCATAAAGAACAAATACTTATATCCTGTGTGGTGAAATGGGAAGCCCAACTTCTCTTTGCTTCTACATCTTTCTCTTTTGTAAACCAGAAAGTGATCAAACTCAACTACGATATACTATTCAAAGCATAAAACGATTAATGGAAAACCAGTTTCTGGAAAGGAGGGAAGGAAGAGTAGGGAA